TTCTGGGGCTGAGCATAGCACTCTCCTTACGGAGTTTCAGATACAAGACCGTTTGAACGGGGAGCCTGCGTTAGCTGGCTACTAGAACTACCCAACGATCGAGTATCCAAATGGCTGATACCCGCTGTCCAGTCAAAACTAAGAATCTTGTAGGCTCTTACCAGTTAAAACTGCTCCAGTTAGTTGCTTCCCAAGAGGTCCGGCACGTAGTACTTCCAAGATTGTTCTGCACTCGCAGCCGCTACTGCACGCCCTTTTATACCCAGAGAGTCATGGGCTTTTCCCGCTCAAAAAGTAGTTATTATTTTACTACGCTTCATTTAGCAGCAAACATATCTCAGTCCGACTAACAAAAATACGCTTTGATTTATTATTAATTAGTTTTTCACAAGTTTTACCGTTAAATCGTATTTTTAATAATTTTTAGATACGCAAATTATAAGTGTTTTAGCAGAAGAAATAATTAATCGCAAATAATACATAAAATAACAGCTAAAAATATAACGCAATTTATAATGAGTGAATAATTAATAATATATATAATATAAACATTTAAATAATAATTTATAATAACTGTGTTTCGAAGTATATCTACTGTCTCTTTCTAACTAACGCGCGCGCCATCGATCGGTGATCTACTCTAAACAATGTCGCGTGCGTGGGCTACCCCATCCCATTACCATGCGAATTTTTAATGGCGCGGTCGGTAATTTGCGGTCGGTAATATAATAGAAAAAGATAGAATTAAACTGCTTCTCTATTTATCGGCTGGATGATGTACCCGGGGACGTTACACTATCATCTACACGTTCGATTAACATAATAAAATGGACTATTTACGCACTATAAGCATTCACAAAATAAATAGACTTACAACTTAGTGAACATCTTTATGGCAATTTCCAAACATCGAATATGCAGTTCTCGGAAGTGAGAAATAAAATATAATCTGTACACTGATTTTGAAAAGACACAGTCGAATTTTGCATTGTATTATATACATCTTATTTGCTTACTTTTCTTTCAAGCATTGAAATATGTTTTGAACATTGCCCCATGTATCTAAACGTACCAGATGAGGCGATTTCTTTGATTAGGAATCTATATGTTTAAAGAACTTAATCTTACACTGTACTATTTACTTTATGTGTCTGATAATGCTTGCATTTATTGTTCTTAGTTATTACTTCCAAAAAGCCATTCTGGAGGAGTCGTCTGCATTGCATCACCGAAGAGATTGGTCAAATAAAAAAACTATGCCTTACATAGCTAATGGTGTTATTGTACATCAAATGGCCCGCCAGTGAGTATTTCCCTTTTACTATATGTACTAATCTATTCGTACGCTAATTTAATTGTTTAAACCAGTGATCCTCGGCATTTTCTTCGCATTAACACTTGTGCAAAAATGTAGCGTACAGGAAATATTGTAAACCGCGACGAATAAATTAATTATGTTCAAAAAGAACCAGACGAGAAAATCCTTAGAATTCCCTTGCGAAATGGAATAGACTAGATAGAAATATTATTTAGCGTCGAGAAATTCTGTCGCGATGCAAGAGTTCGTTGACCACGGAGTAAGAAGCAAGGCGTGACAGCTCGGCCGCGGGTTAGCAACCGACCTATATAAAATAGAGTCGCGCAGCCGGCTCGGGCCTGTTTGGCAGTCTGGGGGAGAGGACGAGATAAGTACTATCGGCCGCTCTCGGACTAGCCTAGGGACTCCAGCAGGAGAGATCAGCGAGAATACCTGGTCGCCTGCTGGAGAAGGAACTTAGCTGTTAGGGACTCCGGCAGGAGAGTACGGCGAACCGCTCCTGGACGCCTGCCGTGGGGTAAACATAAAGAGACTCCGGTGGGAGAGTTCGGCGACAATTCCTGGACGCCCACCTGGAGATAACTGTTGATACCTAGGCAGGAGAGTACGGCGAAACCCTCCTGGACACTTGCCTGGTGAATAGGGGGAGAGTATGGGAGTTTGTTCCTGGACACTCGGTCGACATGGAGAGTTCGGTGAATATTCCTGCACGCCTGTGGACTGAGAGAGGACAGAGCATCTCCTGGACGCCCCAGGTAAAGTACAGGAGAGTACGGGAGAAAACTGCTGGTTGCCCGTTCGGAATAGAGAGTTCGGAGAGAATACCTGGACGCCATTCCTGGACGGGAGAGAACAGTTACTCGTGGACGCCTGATTAATGAAAGAGAGAGAGAGAGAGAGAGTTATATAATCGTACTATTTTCCTTGCGTAAATAAAAGAAGAATTTTGTAACTCCGTTATTTCCTGTACGCTCTCCTAACCTCCAAAATAAATTTTCCATGTTTCCAGAATTCCTGTTATCCTTACGATTTCCTTGTGTCTCTAAAGCCTAACCTGAGAATAAGATGGCCAGAAAGAGTAGTTTTCTTTACCGACATCACTATATTTTTTTTTTAGAATGTAGAGCATGCAGTACAGTCATAATATGAATAAAATTTTCTCGTGGTTCATTAGTTTTGCGCCCGTCGTATCATTTTAATTGCGTTTCACTGTGTTCCTGCGACTTACATATTACATTGCACTTGTTGCAAAAAAATGCACATATTTTAAAGAAATATTATAGATTGTCATTAAATCTTTAGTGACATTAGTATATTCGTTCGCTAATATTTATTTAAAAGTTTTGTAGTTACTACGTGACACAGCCGTACATGAATATACAATTACTATTAATTTTATTAACAAATTATGTCTGTAATCATTGGTATTTTGGTTATGCTAATCTCTTTATGGTGAATGTTCAAGTATGAAGATCCAGTCGGCTGCATAATTGAAGATCCACTTTATAATATCATCAGCCTCGACGGTAACTATGTATAAAGTATAAGAAGGCCCCACAATGATCTCTGGTTTAAACTATTCTATATTCATCGTAAAATTTTGATTAATCGAATACATGTATTTTTGAAGATTTGTACATGATGTAAACAACCGGTGCAAAGTACCATACGTTCTGACCATCATGTGTGGTGTGATTGCCCTAAGCCTTCATTTCTTTTGCGTGAGTGATTCGCAGTGTATCGCTTGGTATCGATATAACTTTCTTTCAAAGACGCTTATAATAAGACATCCAGAAATTGTTTCGTTTGTTAAAGCTTTCTGAAACTGTGCTTCGGACTGCAGATATCAGAGAAACAATCTTATCGGTGTTATTGATCATATCTACATTGGGATACATGTTTTGGTTAAACCTCGCAGTGGAATTCATCATCGACAGCGCTTGCAGCATTTCCTTAAGAACGTATGTAACTGTATTAGAGTGCTAATGTATTAGAGTGCATTTTGTAGAAAATGTTTGCAGCTACTTTTTAACCCTTTCGCTTCGGCTGTCCAGTCCGCCGAAGTACAGTAACTGAACAGAAGCGCTTACCCACAAGTCATACGAGGTGTGACACAAAAGTAACGAGACTAGGTCTGTAGCTTAAAAAAAGAATGGAATTGTGCAGCAATTGTTTTTGTGGCATCATCCCACATACCTCCTCTATCCATGTTGCCAATTTCGATTGAATCGGTCATACCATTTGGAAGTATTGCGTTATTTAGTGAACACGTGCAACTGCATTCTGCCGGAAAAATGTCTAACGTAAAAACCGAACAGCGAATAAACATCAAGTTTTTTGTAAAATTTGTTGAAATCTGTTGTAATTTGTAAAATTTGTTGAA